TGCTGCTCAGTATGAAAATATTTAGTAATAGCAGGTTTGCAAAAATGGTTTTCTGAAACAAAGGAAAAATTAAACTGAAAGGTTAAAGTGCAAATTTTATATCTGTTCGCGCTCCTAATCACAATTGTCATGTAAACATATTTCAACTATAAAACCAAAAACAGAACTTATTATTAAGGCATGCTGAATATGTCAAAGATTAAAGGAGACTAACACAAATTGACACATTGTCTCCAAAATCCTTGCTGAATTTGAGAGGCAATAGGCATTCGAGCCAAGGCAGCAATGCTGTCTCCTCATTTCCATCACAAGCGACGGCTAACTCTGGGTGTTTCTCTAGCAAATCCAGTGCAACATCTGAGAACACAACACCATCATTAGATAGTATCAATTCTAAATAGTGGAAGTATGCAGTTGCTAAACATAATAGATATTAATTATGTCTCATAGAAGGAAAATTTCGGATTTGTATTCACCAAGCCACTTGTGTTATGAAAGGGTTCTTTATTAGTTTTGTCAAATCATGTCTCTTGATGGAATTCACAGTGTTCTTAAAAGAATAATGGGAATTTGTCAAAAAACATACAGGGAGATATATTAATCGACCACCATACATGGAATTTCAATCCTATACAAAAGGTTTCAATCTTCATTGTAAATCAATTTAAAAGATATCAAGGACTACAATTAGCCAAAATATAAGAATACCTTTTACATACCATACAAACCGTTGCTTATTAGAGTGATAAGCAATTCAATGCGGTCGTTGCCACATAATGACTTGTCATCAGTGGCTTCATAAAGGAACTGTACCATCTCTTTATGGCCAAACAAAGCGGCCATGTAAGTGGTAACATCTCATTTCTACCTCGGATCAGCTAAGTTTCTACTCCTTCCAGGACATCAGCTAAGTTTGTACTCTCCTCTATCATGTTGGGAAGTTCCACCATCTGGGACTCCACAGAGAGACATAAGCTGTTTTTTCCAGCTCCTTTCTTTGTAGTTAAATCCTCTTTTTTCATTGTTCATCATCACTTGAGCAAGTTCCACATTTCCAGACACAGCAGCAAGACAAAAAGCTGTTTGCCTGCATAATTTGTAGTAGCTAAATCCTCTTATATATTATCTACCCTTTTTCAAAAAAACAGTTTGCTTCTGCGCAGCGCAATATGGGAGCAGTGTCCCCTTCCTTCGATATCCTCGCTGTTATATCATTTTATGTTTCTTGTAAATACCTCTCAGCATGCTCCAATCACCACTTAGTGCAGCTTGATACAATTTTAAGTGTCTAATTCTTGTTTGCTTGTCTGTCAAGTGGAAGATTTATAACAATTTTTATCAATAAAATTGTTGATCTTTAAAATATGTATAAAATACACATATAGGCACCAATAAATAGTAGCAAATTCATGCCTTTGGAAAACAGTTTCTTGCCAAGTTGCCAAAGTGATTGGTAATGAAGCTAAAAGATTTTCCCCACAGTAAACAATCCATCGAGAGAAAACAATAGCACAGGTATAACACATGTTAAAATCTAAGCATACCAGCCATGACATAAGGTGAAGCAATAACAATTTCAACTTCTTCATTTGAACCATTTCTGGATGCAAAGGTATCCCTCATGATTCATAGTCGGCATTGTTGAAACCTACAATGAACTTATATTTGTTAGATAAGGTGAATTGGATAGATTTCTCTTTTTTACAAAATAATACTTCCATCGAATTTTAAATGTTTATGATTTATCAACTTTTAGTAAATTACCATATATAAATGAATGATGCAGATAATATCATATGAGAAACAAGAGTGTTGCTAACATTATATCCATAGTATAAAAGAATCGTAAAGCAAGAAGAAGACATTAGATGCATTTCATCAAATAATGCGAATCTTTGAATTTCAGGATGTCATTACTTTTGATGTTTAGTATAACTTACAGTTATATTACTGTAGTTCTACCACAACTACAGAGTACATAACAATGTAACTGGTGCTTTACATGTTTGAGGTATTGACAATGACCTCCCCTTCGTTTGGGGAAAGTGTCTAATAGATCCAAATTTTTAATGTAGAAGACCTCCCCTTCCAGGTATATTAATGAAAAATTGTCATCTTAAATCATCTTAATAGCCCTCAAATTTTTCTTTACATTGTTAATAATTAATAAAAGGCCTTGAAATGAGGTCTCCTTACAATTTAACAACTTTATGGTCCAGCTAAACATTCCTCAAACCTCAGGGAGGTCATTGCAAATTACCTTAGTCTAAACTTTACCTTCTCCCCACTACACGATATTTCGATCTAGATGATAAAAAGTTTCTGACCTTCATAAACAGACTTTTTTATGAACTGCACATTTTGCACAGGCAAATTTTAAGCGTCAATTACTGGGTATACAAAAAGTTGGACAAATATTAGCATAAATTTAAGGATTACAAGGAAAATTCTACAGAAAATGAAAAAAAAAAAAAAAAATTTGAAACTTTTTTGCCCTCTTGGTAAGACTGATAAGTATCCAAAGCTATTGACAATGGCAGTCCTAAAACAACCAAAAATGGAAACTTGACAAAATGAAACAAAAATATAAATTAAAAAGAAGAACTGGTTTCAAAAAGCTTACCTTTTTTTACGGCTTAAGATGCAATCCCCAGCTCGAAATGGGAAAATGAAGAACGAAAAGCTTCAAGTGAAGAGCAAAGAGGGGAATAACGAGGCTGAAAGCTGAGAAAAAGGGAAGTAAAGTAGTGGCAGAGAGAAGAACAATGCCACACCATCACCAACTCAAACAGAAGTCTCAGCAGCTCTCTCTCTCTCTCTCTCTCTAACCCAAGACCAAGAACTACACAGTAGCCATCCACACAATGAAAAGGAACACCCTTTATTGATAAACCCTCTGTTTTCAGTATATTACAACTGTACCACTGAAACTTGCCCAAAAAATATATACATTTTTTTTCACAATAAAATATTCTGTTTTCAGTAACTTTTGAGTCCGATGCTATACTTGTCTTCTTCACTTGCAATACTCAACATTCTTCTTCCACCGCACAAATATGGAAACATTCTGATCGACTCATTAATCTTTTGACTCTCCAAATCGCACTACGCATGATCACAACAACATCTCTGCAGATCTACATTTGAGCTTTCATCCTCTCCGCATATCGACGGCGTTCAAGCGCCAAAATCTCAGACCCACTCGCCGATGTCGTTCACTGAGTCCGACACTGACTTCGAACTTCAGTCCCCGTCACGTTGAGGAAACACTGTTCTGCTTTTGGATTAAAACTTGAATTTTGCTATTCAATTCAGTTATCAAAATGGAGGATACCTTTTTCTGAGGGAAATGTTTACTAAAGTTCATGGTTTTATTATTATTATTAATTGGAATAAAAANATGGCCATGATCAAATGTTGCTGGCCCAAAAGCATCTTTCAGGCTCAAGTCATCGTCAGACAATATGCCTAAGCTTGCATCATCTTCCCCAGAAGATTTGCAAGAGGAATTTGCAACAGATTTGATCTCAGGGAAACAAGATTGAATTGAAAGTCCCCTCCCATATTGTGATGAAGGAAGGTTGTTCAATATCATTATCTTCAATGAAAAGTACTGCCTCAGAACAAGCAAAATCAGTAGTACAACAAAAAGAACAACAAAAGAATGTAGTGCTTTATTAGGAGTTAGGACATCACCGTTTCTGGTTCTGAGCAGCTCAATTAGATAAAAGACTTTGAACCTCCAAGCAACTACAACCAAGAACAAGATGAATTATAAATCCAAACATGTAGTGCCGTAAAATGATTGGATTGTCAAAAGAAAAAGTTGAAACAAAGAGCAAATTTATTTTCTCGTGTTTGAAAACTGATGGCTGCGATCTTCTTCCACCAACTTCACTAACGCTGCCTCGTTTTCTTGTGGCTCTTGGTTATTAAAATCTTAAGGAACTGACTTGACCCACGTATGCAATTGGATTGATCAACGCCTTCACACTAAACTTTATTCATATAATTGAAGAAACTGACACCTCTGCTTTCTGAGAAAGTTCAAAGCGGGATATTAAGAGATGGGACCGCTTGGCTCTTGGTTCTAGTTCTGCCGTTTACATTGACTGGAAAAGTCTCTTATGGGGATCTTTCCATGGTCCAACCCGTTGTAGGCATGTATTTCATTGACAATTGAAGTACATAAGTCTAGCTATTTACATGTACCCCGCTTCCTTTTATTGCATACTTTATTCTATTAAATCCAATGTTGAATGGTGAAGAACAAAACGGTGTAGTTGGATATTACTTAAACAATGCTGTCTCATAATAAAGCTACAAGATTGATCCTATGGATGATTGCTTCGCAAATCTGACAGCCAAGGTTCTCCAACAGTGCAAGTATAAAAGAATACCCTTCAGTCGAATTACACAGCCTTTACACTCTCTGTTTTTGCGATTGAGTTCTTCTTTGTTAGGGTTTTTGATTTCTTATTTCTCGTAGACTTGTAATCTGGTGTGATTGTTTTAATCGTGTTTGAGGGTTGTGTTTCCTTCAGGTTGTAAGGATCTGGGTTAGTATTCTCATAGAAGAAAGATTACGAGTGAGTATTTGAGAGGATTACAGGGAGTGAGTGATTTGATTGAGTTCAATCTAGTTGTATTTGTAACGAATCTTGATCTCTAGTGCAGTGAACCCCAAGTTTATTGGAGTTCAATGTGAATGTAGCTTATCCAATTTGGATAAGTGAACCATGGTAAAAATTATTGTCTTCTTGTTTGATTTTGCAGTTTGATTCTTGATTAATTATGTGAGATTTGGTGTTTTGAGTTTGGGATTCTTGCGATAAACTCAACATCTAAGGATTTCAATACTAAGTAAATGCCATTAATGTCTTTCAAAATACAGTTTGAATTTGAAGCAGGGCGGTCGGCCCCCTTGAAATTAGATTAATATGCTCAGATTTGTTTATGATTTGATAAATTAAACAATACTGTTCAATGAGTGTTATTGTCATTAAAATTAGGCTTAAATGTAATGAATTGTGAGTAAAACTAACCTACACTCCTGTACTCAGGGCATGATTAACTTCTGATTTACTTCCCCTCCTGTACTTGCATTTCCAATAAATAATGAAGGGATGGTAGAATATATGGAGTGAGTCCCGTAGTCAAGGATTTCAATTTAATCAAACTATTACTTCAATGGCTTACAGGACCTGAGAGTTGCAGCATCAGATTATGGACAAATAGATTCAAAATTTGTGTAGTACCATTACTTGTTCAGTACACTGAGTTACTTCCTCTTCTTCGACTCCATTGCTTTCCATTGGCAGAAAAGGGTACGTTTGTGTGGCTGGAAAAGAGAGCTACTTACATATGTAGAACGCACCACATCAAACAGGAGACACCATTGTTGCTTAGTGAACAAAAGTACCGGTATAGAAGCGATTACGATAACAAGAATAGGAACCCACAGCACTCCATCTTTGAAAACAATAAAAATAGTTGCACAAAACACTACCATCATTGCTGCTATTGATAATAAAAGTGTTGCAAATCCAGCAACCAGCTTTTTTGGTAACTGTGAGAGGAAATCTTCTTCTGCATACCGGGAAGTTAGAATGGATAAAAAGGTTAAGATGGAGCATGCGGAAGATACTAGTGAAACTGCATCTGATATAACAAAAATTTTGAAGGAAGTTTTTTGAATAAAATGAGGAGTCCCTGTCTCGTCTTTGGTGCCACCTGGGACAGTGAAAGCTGCTGCAAAAACCACAGTGGCAATAAGAGTTGCCACAATCATGCAATAGTTTGCAGTGTCCTTCATCCATTTCTCTCCCTTTTCCTTTAATTCTCCATGCTCCTTAGTAAATAAAGCTCTAGGAGTTTTCCCTTCACTGTTTTTATCCTGGGCATCCAATGGATGCATAATTTTACTGACCTCCTACAAATAATGTTGTAAAAGATCTTATCAGTTAGCGTAACGAATATTGCTTTCTAAACAAAGGAGAACCGTAATATTCACCTTAAACCACAGCAACTCTCGCTGCAGTTGCAGAGCAGCTCCTGATACAACATTGACCCGATCTGGTGGTGCCAACATTCCAGCCAAATGCAAGATATTATTGTCTTTTTTATCCTTGGAAGCAACTATCAAATCCTTAAAAGTACCAATCTCATGTATGAGTTTGAAGATGCCCCTATGACGATTCATAACAGCAAAATGAAATATGCTATAATTATTTTTATCAACTTCCAGTATCAAATCAGGATATTCACGTATAAGTATAATTAGAAACTCAATGTTTCCTAGTTCTGCAGCAACAAATATCAGTTGTTGGGCAGTTTTAATAATATTTGAAATTGCAGTCTCATCTGACAATATGACTTGTTCCCAAAGGCGTTGGATTAGTTCAAGTGCTTTAGGAGGCAACTTGGTGTTGCTACCTGAAACTACAAATTTGATTAGCCAACATCAGCGTACAGAAATCTTTAGGCCGGTTAACAATGACAGAAGTCATTGCAATTAATTCTAAATAAGTAAAAGAACATAGGAGATTTACTACCTAAACAATTTGCAAGGAAAACATTTTCTAGGCAATACTTAACTATATATGTAATGGTCAAGTTGAACTAGGAATTTGATTAACACTCTGAGTCACACAATAAAAATGTCCAGCAATGTAACCTACAGTAACCACAACAATACCACTTCATTATGCTATAAAAGAAATCACGTTATTGCATAAATGCCATATGGCCAAAATTTTGATTTGTGAAAAGTCCAGAACAAATTCTATATTGCAATAATCAAGATAAATTAGCAGTCTGAAAATATATCATAAAAATCCTTTAGCGTTAGAACACACTTGCAAATTATTCTTTGGCAAAAGGTGCTGCTCAGTATGAAAATATTTAGTAATAGCAGGTTTGCAAAAATGGTTTCTGAAACAAAAGGAAAAATTAAAACTGAAAGGTTAAAGTGCAAATTTTCATATCTGTTCGCGCTCCTAATCACAATTGTCATGTAAACATATATTTCAACTATAAAACCAAAAACAGTAACTTATATATTAAGGCATGCTGAATATGTCAAAGATTAAAGGAGACTAACACAAATTGACACATTGTCTCCAAAATCCTTGCTGAATTTGAGAGGCAATAGGCATTCGAGCCAAGGCAAGCAATGCTGTCTCCTCATTTCCATCACAAGCGACGGCTAACTCTGGGTGTTTCTCTAGCAAATCCAGTGCAACATCTGAGAACACAACAACCATCATTAGATAGTATCAATTCTAAATAGTGGAAGTATGCAGTTGCTATACTTAATACTATATTAATTATGTTTCATGGAAGGAAAATTTTCGGATTTGTATTCACCAAGCCACTTGTGTTATGAAAGGGTTCTTTCATTAGTTTTGTCAAATCATATGTCTCTTGATGGGAATTCACAGTGTTCCTTAAAAGAATAATGGGACATTTGTCAAAAAACATACACGGGAGGATATATTAATCTGACCACCATACATGGAATTTCAATCCTATACAAAAGGTTTCAATCTTACATTGTAAAATTCAATTTAAAAGATATCAAGTGTACTACAATTAGCCAAAATATAAAGAATACCTTTTACATACCATACAAACCGTTGCTTATTAGAGTGATAAGCAATTCAATGCGGTCGTTGTCATATAATGACTTGTCATCAGTGGCTTCATAAAGGAACTGTACCATCTCTTTATGGCCAAACAAAGCGGCCATGTAAAGTGGTAACATCTCATTTCTACCTCGGATCATTGCTAAGTTTCTACTCCTTTCCAGGACATCAGCTAAGTTTGTACTCTCCTCTATCATNTTATAAATATTTGATAGCTAAAAGAGGAGCATTAAGGCCTATCATATAGTGCCAGGCCCATAAACGTTCTTTTCATGACATATCTAGCCCAGAAGGAGTATCCATTGGGCCGAAACTCATCACAGCCTCATTAAGAGAGAGAGAGAGAGAGAGAATTATCATTTTCAACCACCTGAATCTAAAGAGCGTAACTGTAGTTAAACCCCAGAAAAATTATTCAAATTTGAACAAGTATGGAGGCTCAGATTCGCCTTTTATCAGACAAAGGTTGAAACTTTTACCACAATGGCTGCAGCAACAAGCATTTTTCAAAAATACCTAGAAGCTGCCTCGCCATTATGTGCAAAGACTTCCCACCGTCCGATCATTTGACTTAAACAACATCATCATCATCACAGCCTCATCACAGAGAAAGAGAGAGAAAGAGAAACAGGGTGTTTCTTTGTTTGGTTTGCAATGTTCCCTTCGGCAGAGACTACTTATGTTGCTGTAGAGGTCATCCTTACCGGGAAGGTTACATATTGGCATTGGCTCTTGGTAGTGGGTACAACGATATTTCAAAGAAACCTTGATACTTTAATAAACCCCTATAATTTTACCTCAAACCAAACAAACCCCTAGTCTTTTATCTTCCACTTAAAGCCATAAAGTTTGACCTTGCACCAAGAAACCCCTAAAGTTTGACCTTCTTGCAAACCCCTATAGTTATACCTCGTTACTCATAAACCCCTATACTGTTAGCCTATATTACATGATCCCCTTTAATTAAATTAATTTTATCATGTATCCAGAGACCCCTATAGTTATACACAGTATAGTAGCACCTGTTTTAGTCTTTTTGATGAACCCCTATAGTTTTACTCCGTGCCTATAATTCTCCATAGTTTTACACTCGTATAAACCCTATATCTTTGCTACGGGTTAATAAACCCCTACAGCTTTACGATGTATCAGATGAACCCCTATGTTTTTACTTTGCCTATTCAGTTTCGTGTTCTATTAATAAAACCCATATCATTTCGATGATTTATGAAACCCCTATACATTTTACGCTCTTCATGAACCTAGACCTAGAGTTTGACGATCTATTTCACTATTAGTTTGTCGTTCTGTTTAATATCCAGAATCTTAATATTTCAAAATATTGACAAAAAAAGAGTTGAATTTCTATGACAAACTTAGGGATCTAAACTTTATCCAATTTCTTTCGCTACTTCTGTAAAATAACAAAGAAAAGAAATGCAGATAACAAGTGATTACCAAAGCCAGTACTTCTTTAAATTCTGAAATGAGAAAGAACTTCATCAAGATACACGCTGGCCTACCACTTCATCAACATGCTGGCTCTATTCAATTCAGAGAAAATGGAATGTAGTAAACATATAGAAATGCACCAAATTTACTACTCTGTTCGTAGCATGCCCAAAAAGCCAATTTTCATTATATATATTAAGTAGAAGAATTTTGTTTTGTTGGGCAAATAAAAAACTGAATTGTGTGGCCAATGTGCAAAGTCATCCGATCATATTTATAATATGATTGGATGACTTTAATTTAAAGATAAATTAAAAAAAGAAAAAGAAATAATATGTCAAACATGTATGATTGCCACGTCACTTTATACATAATAGTTTATATAATTAGTTTATACACGTTATTTACTAGGTTTCAATTAAGAAAAGATTCAATTTATTATAAATATTTGATAGCTAAAAGAGGAGCATTAAGGCCTATCATATAGTGCCAGGCCCATAAATGTTATTTTCATGACATATCTAGCCCAGAAGGAGCATCTATTGGGCCGTAACTCAGCCCAGTGTGGGAATCCTGTGTTGACATTTTTTTAGAAAGACGGCCCGGCCCGGGCCATTTGCCGTTGCTTTATTGCGTTCTCTTTTCTGTCGATCTCAAATATAAAATCTAAAAGAAAATTTGGAATTAATTAAAGGTTGATAAAGCCTAAAACCCTAGCAAGGATTAAAAGGAGCTATGAAGCGAACTCTGTTCTACGCTCGCAATTTTCTTCTCTTTCCTCCCAAATTCAACGCAAGCCATAAAATTTCACCCATTCAACTTGCTTTTTCAGCTCGGCCGACAGTCAGGTTCTATACATCCGAGTCTGATTCATCCAATTTTGCCCGAACTCAGAACGATAATGGCGGCGCAGATGTTGAGGATGTCAGCAACGAAGGTAAAACTGGTATTTGTCTTCTGTTTGGTTGCCGAGAAAGTTGTAGAGAGAAGAAATGAAAAGCTTTTTTCTTTTATTATAAAACTCTCTGATTGGACTTGTAAGATATGTAATTTTTTATTTTTTATTTTTTATTCTGGGTTACTTAGATCGATTTTGGCTTCTTAATGTTCGACATACTTGAACTAACTCGTTTATGAAGAGTAGCATGTACTTCTTATTCATGGCTGCTTCTGTATTCTACTTGTTTATCAAGCTCTGTTTATTTATGTTGATTTAGTGTTAAATTGTTTTGTAAATACTAGAGCTTAAAAGGAGAATAGAGAAGTACTTTGAGGGAGATGAAGAGGCCATACCATCAATATTTGAAGCCATTTTGAGTAGGAAGTTGGCAGGGAAGCATGAAGAGAGTGATGATGAATTGATGGAAGAGATTAGACACAAAAATTCAGAGGAAGATCATGTCAAAGAAGAAGAAGAGTTTGATTCCGAGCAAGATAACTAGTCGGAACACCACCTTAATGATTTGTTCATTTATACTTTTGTTAGAGTTTGGTTCACGCTTATCCTTTGTTTGTTTGGATGTATAAATGTAAAATCATTAGGACTAATTTTACATATTTATGAACTTGCAATTGATTATTTTGGTATTTTTGTTAATGGATTTGGGATACCTTATGATATAATAAGAGAAGTTGAAAGTGAACTTTTAAATAGAACCATAAAATTACAATTTCATTAATTAAATTTGTACAATTAACAAGATTAATTAAATTTATGGAATAATTTAAAATAAAAAATAAAAAAATTTAGCGAGTTCTGAGTTGGAGGCATAACCTAGGTAAAATGTAATGGGAATCATAAGTAAAAAAAGCCAAAAAAATGGATTTTTCTCATCAAATAGTTTCGAGAATACATTTGAAACATAAATATCAATAAACATAATTGTAAAATAATTTTCTGATGATTTTCATTCATCATCTATAGTACATATAGACTGCATATAAGAACATTTACAAGGAAAGAATAAAAGAATTAATTACAAAATATTTCAGAAAATATCTTATAATTATGAAAGAAATAATATCCTATAACTTTTAAGAAATAAATAATATCTTATAATTAATAACATTGACCACATCAATTTCTTATTCACAGGATATTCTAGTATCAATCTCTTGATAATAAATTTAAAATTAACAATTTAAAAATGCATTTTTGTAGATTTTATGGATTAAAAAAAATCATTAATTAACACAGCAGGCTCTTTTTTTTTTTTTTTTTTCATTTTAGAATTAATAATTTAATATGGAGGCAAATCTCAGAATCCGTTATTGCCTTACTGCCACTGGTGACCAGAATCAGTTATTGCCTTATTGGTGACCAGCCAAACAGGCCCTTAAAGCTTGTGATAAAATTCACAAACCAAGTAAAAATGAGACGAACTCTGCTAAAAAATGTTTCTCTCCTTAGGCGAAACCTTCTGCAGAATCGAAACCCTAATGCATCACTCATTCCACTTGCTGCTTCGACTCGGTCTCCACTCAGACTCTACTCGTCCGACTCAAACGACTCCTCTATTGACCAAGACCTCCCTGCCTCCGCTGCTGAATCCACATTGGCAGCTCAAACCCAGGAGAAGGACGTGTCTCTCGATGTTCAGGATGTGGGTAATAAAGGTAAAAAATTTTATATTTGTGTTTTGAATGTGTTTGGTTGGTGGGAAAATGGAGGAAAGTGAAAGCAAGTTTTCTGTTTCTGGATTTTTTTTTTCTTTTTATTGAAATTGAAGTTTATTCTGGTAGAATTCTCAGCTAGGATTTATGAAAGGTTTCTGGGTTTGATTTATTTTGGAAAAATTCGAAACTTAGATTGAAAAAAATGTTGTACTGGATTTCTGGGATTTAAATTATGTGTGATTTAACCGTTTGTTGTTTCATATCAGACCTGAGAAACAAGTTAGCGTGGATCCTAGAGGACGCGATTATTAAATATGGGTTGGCCAGGGATGCTGAATCAGGTGGAGAATCAGATTATCAAGCAAATTATCAATCAGATGAAGAATATGATGGGCGAAGGATTTGCCGGACCGAAAAAGAGATGCTTTGCGATTTGGTTCGGTGGGGGCATATTCCAAACCCAGCAGAAAAATGGCTTAGAGATGCAGTTCGGCGGGGGCATCTTGATATTCATGAAATCCCAGAACCAGGTGACTATGAATTAGTCGGTGAATCAGATGATGAAGATAAGGATTATCAATCTACTGGAAAATGAGTGCCAAAAGAAAAAGGGCTTAGAGATGCGGGGGTATCTTGATATTCTTGAAATCCCAAAAGAAGAAAAATAGAGATTTGACAGCGCATGTTAAATACAAATTCGACATAGGGTGATGATTAATGTGCTAATTTACATTAAATTAGCACATTAATATGTTCATTTTCATGACCATTCTTGAAGCTCGGAGATGCACATCCCATTGCTACTTTCACAGTTTCAAAATTCCATCTCAACTTTGATGAATAAGTGCAACATGTAATCAAATAATGAGTCACACTTTTGGTTGAAATATATTATTGTGTAAGTGATTTTATTGTTTAAAAAAAAAAAAAAAAAACAGAAATAAAATTTACATACACATTGTTGAAATTAAAAATAAAATAAAATATATACAGTTATATAAATTATAAAATTTAACAATATGTATTAAAAAATTTAAATTAAAATATAGAATAAAATTAAAAATTAAAAAAAAATCAAAACTAAAATAAAATAAGTAAAAAACCTTAAAAAAAATTAAAACTAAAATATAAATATTTCATTGATTGTATATTGTTTTATTTCTTTTTATTTTTTAAAAACAATAAAATCACTTACACATGTATATTTCAATCATTTAAAAAATTTTAGTTAATCGGTTAAGTGTCTTCTCATTATTTTTTCTAATAAAAATGTCTTATAATAATCCATAAATAAATAAGTAAATTGTATCTCACCTCCCATAAATCTCTTGCTTTGACCGCAGTTGATAAATTAGGCCCAATTAACACTCTATTCCATAGTGCCACTCAAAGGCCCTGCCCAAACCTACAATAATATTTATATTTTTTTCCATTTGTGTAGGCTGAATCTTTTACTAATAACGATGAATGATTTAACCAAACCCATTACTGATATTGTGAGATTAGTGATTAATTAATAGGTTTAATTAAATAGGTTAATTACCATTCCAGCCTCCAGGTCCAGCATAAGATGCCCATTTGTCATTTTGATCTGCAAAAGATTTCATACTGCTCCACTCCACCCCAGAGGGTCAGATTAATTTAGTTAATTAATTATTTAATTAGTTTAATGTAAAAGCTTAATTAACTGTCCCAATTGTCACCAATATCTCCAGTGGTTCTCCAACTATTTCCAATTTTTGGGGCCCAAGTTGCAGGGTCTTCTTGTCCCCTGTACATTTGATTTAATATATATATTTCTTAAAAGAAAGTTAATTAAATTGAAATAAAAGATATAGACATATATATCTTAACAATAATGCTAGGGACACCGAAAAATCTGCACCGAAATTTTGTACCGGCCTACGTGTAATGCATTTCTAATTTTTTTAACAATTTTTTTCTAGTGNGTCATTATAAGGTATTATTGTGAGAGATTTTGCACTTCAATTATTAAATAAAAACTCTGCATAACAACTAAGAATTGCTGGAAATTTGGTGTTTGAAAATTAATTTGACTGCTGGAGAGTGGAGACCATTACATTTTACAGCGCATGTTAAATACAAATTCAACAAGGTGCGATGATTAATGTGCTGCAAGGGATAGCTCAATCCAAAAGACCGCATCCCATGTGTTGGATAGGTGACCATTTTAATAACCCAACATTCAACGAAAGCATTACCAATGTTAAAATTCAAGCCAATGGAGAATCTAACCTAAAAGACTGACTTGTTAGACGGGAGAACCCTTAGACTTAAGTATTACAATTGATGGATGTGAGATTTCGATGTGGGATCTTAACAAATTTACATTAAATTAAAACAGTTTTTTTACAGTATATCAGCTTGTTGGATTGTTCGTCTAATAGCCATATTCATCATTTGCTTTGATTAATATGTTCATTTTCATGACCATTCTTGAAGCTAACCTCATGACCATTGCTACAAGTTCCAAAATTCCATCTAAACTTTGATGAATATGTGCTTTCTCAATCCCCATATGCAACGTGTAATCAAATAATCATACTTTAGGTTTAAAAAATATCGTCTCAATTGATATGCTATTTGATATTACAATATTCATTTGCGTTTTAAGATTGTTTCTTAACAATTTTTTTTACCTTGAATGTTAATTTTTGAATAACATTATATATATTAACTTTTTATATAAATTGACGTATTATAATATGATTAGATGACTTTAATTTAAAGATAAATTAAGAAAAAAAAAAAAGAAATAATATGTCAAACATGTATAATTTCCACGTCACTTTATACATAATAGTTTATATAATTAGTTTATACACGTTATTTACTAGGTTTCAATTAAGAAAAGATTCAATTTATTATAAATATTTGATAGCTAAAAGAGGAGCATTAAGGCCTATCATATAGTGCCAGGCCCATAAACGTTCTTTTCATGACANTAAGGGACGGGCGTCCATTCATAATGGACGCCCGTCCATTATGAATGGACGCCCGTCCAAACATAAGGGACGGGCGTCCATTCATAATGGACGGGCGTCCATTATGAATGGACGGGCGTCCATTTTGAATGGACGCCCGTCCCTTATGTTTGGACGGGCGTCCCAAATATTTATAAAAAAATTTATTTATGGACGGGCGTCCTTTACATGGGGACGCCCGTCCCTTGTATATGGACGCCCGTCCATATAATATGGACGGGCGTCCATGTGAGTGAACGGTCGTCCAAATTTGATGGACGGCCGTTCACTAGAAAAAAATTGTTAAAAAAATTAGAAATGCATTACACGTAGGCCGGTACAAAATTTCGGTGCAGATTTTTCGGTGTCCCTAGCATTATTGATATCTTAATCTCATCATTCGCATAATGAAAAAATATGAGTCTACCTGAGTTTAGTAATGTTTTACTCATTATGGGATACCTGTTCGAAATACAAGATTATTAAATCTTCTTTTGATTAAGTAATTTAATTATTTAAATCTTACATTATACCTTTCCTTAGGACTTGTACTCATATTTTCATAATTATCATACATTAAGTAGTCAATTCTCTGTGTAAGTTAATTAAACAAAATTAATGCTATGCAAAACGTAATTAAATCAACATTAATCCCTATACGTTGTACCCAAGAAGCAAAGGTTTTTGCATCTTTTTCCTCGTAGCCTAACGATCCAGGCATAGTTTTACTGCACGTTTGAGTCCTTCACCAAAAAATAATTACTTACTAATTAATAAGATAAATAATTAATTAAGCATGCATGAAATCTCTAAATAAATTTGATACCCAGCGTCAGAATAAATTCCAAGT